AAGATATTCTTTTACTACGTCAAACTGTCGCTGGTTTCGGTCTAAGCATAACTGTTTTTCGTCACTTCCTGTATGGCATTCTGGGCAATTGGATTCCTCCAGTGGCGCCAGCAAGGATCCTTATCATGTGTCATTTGGAGTGAGTTTAGGTCGTTTCGACGTAACTCAATTGCAAAAAAGATAAGTGCCCCAGCGATAGGATTGCTTAGAGAGCATCGATTGTCGGCTGCACGCTTCTGTGGGAAGTCGACCAGATACATTGCTCCTTACCTCTTTCTTGTCTCTGGGGCATTTACATTTTGGAATTAGCGACTGCCCCAATGGCATTTTTTGCTCGCCCCTTCCGAAGCAAAAGTGACAATGCACATCTTTCACCGGCTCGTGATTGGCTCGACCATCGACGACGTTCTCCGAGGCTTGGCTCTTGGCCCTACTCCCAATTGGCTCAATCGTCACAGTGGACATGTGCCACATGCAAGTGGTTGCGAGTACCGACTCGAGAGTGCTGTCCAAGAGCCTTCAGCATATTCCTCATCATTGGCCAACTCTTTTGCGTCTGGCCACTTGCATTCTTTGTCCAATGCATGCACACAAACACCCACAGTCTGTCCTACAAACAGATGCTCTTCAACTTTGAACCAGCCCAGATTCACACCTACTCGTGCCCCCCCAGTAATACACTTTTACCATTCATCCAGTCCATCAGCTTGTGCAGATTTACATAGATATATACACACATACACACACAGACAGACGTGTATGAAATCAAATACAACTGTGGCCAACTGGTAGTCATGCTTTGTGTGTGTTGTCTGCAAAAGTTCTCTCAAGGTGTGCATGATGGGAGCTTTGTTGTAAAGACTCTTTAAGTCTTCTGTCTGTTCACTTTTTTAAGGGCATAGACACTGCTTTTGTGGGTGTGTAGGCCGGACAGAGTGCGAAAAATCAGGGGTCTTATGTGCGCATGGTTGCTACCATCTGGAACTTACGCAAGCAAGACGAAATGATTGCAACTGATTGCATAGTTGGCAGAGTTTGTTCTATCGAGTCACGTACATCTTCTCTTCGGGATGCACCGCAGCGGAAGCCCAGCTTCGAGCCTCAGTTTGTTCGTCCATCCGTTCATCCGTCCATCCGTCAGTTTGTGTAAATATCCACTCGTCTGTCGGTATCGTTCAGGCTTTATTGAGTCACAGCGACCGAGTTTTAATGAGGTCAATCACCGAAACGGCACGTCTCTTTGGGCGTGATCACCTGTCGATTCGTCCGACAGCTCGACAGGCCCACAGACTGTCCCACTTGGCAGCATTGACAACAGTTCCCGAGGTGACAGAAGAGGCACTGTGAGTGTGCGTGTGTGTATGTGTGCGGGTGGGAGGTTTGCGGCGGGCACCAAGAGACCGAGATTGGCGGATAAATATACAAATGGTGTGAAAAGTGAAGACGATTGCAACGAAGATCGGTTGGCGGAGAAGGGCTTTTCCGTCAGAAGCGGAATAAAAGGTGTCTCGAGAGAAAAGCTAATTGACCACAGACTTGGCCAGCCGATGTCGCTTATATTCGAAATGAGTAGGCTTAGAAATTACATTGTTTGGGGGACCTTCATTTCGAATGAAAGTACATGATGAAGAGATTCGTTTGTCGTTCTCACCAGATGAGGA